ACACAGAGAGAGAGAGACAGATCAGACATTTGTAAAAATGTGTTTGCAGTCGAGCTATGAAAGCAGTGTGGATGGAGTGGGCAGCTCCTGTGGAGGTTTACATTCATACAGACACATCCACACTCTTGATGACTCATGCACCAGTCAAAACAAGCTATTCTTTCAGCGTGTTTCTCTGTAGCAGAGCACAAAGGCAGCATTGATTGAGCTTATTAATAAACTAACAAAACATCACTGATTTAAAGGGTTGTGTTGTGGGTCACTAATTGTTTCTTTTGTCTGTCATAATATGTGTGTGTGTGTGTCTGTTATGCATTAATGTTGTGTGCGGATGAAGGAGTCGTATCGGCAGATAATGAAGATGAGGCCCAAAGACCTGAAGAAGCGTCTGATGGTGAAGTTCAGGGGAGAGGAGGGCCTGGACTATGGTGGGGTGGCCAGGTAATTCGCTCTCTACATGTCATAAGTCCATCTTTTCTCTCCCTGCTAACTTAAGTCCAAGTGGTACATTTATAAGTACTTTTATCGCACTTAGTTAGAATGCAACAGTTGAAAACAGTAAACTAATTATTGTGTTGCAACAATAATAGACGAGGATAGGCCAGGTAACTCTGGCTCCTTGGCCAGTATTGACCATATTGATCTTCCTACTTTTAAGCGACCCTCTCTAAGTGTCAGTGAGCTTTAAAATAATGAGTGTGCTCAGTGTACCCGCTCTGACATTAAAATTATGAGCGTAAGCAGCTTTCACTGGGTCTGCAAACAAGTTTAATTAGTCACTTTTGTAATAAAAATGGGACATTAAAACTAACAAAGAAATCCATTGGACATTTTGGCAGCATTACCTTTACATTCATTAAGCTTTTATAATTTAAAAACCAATACAGCAAGAGGGACAAATGTTTTAGCAATAGTGCCTCTATTCATTAAGCTGTAGAAGACTCCATTGGACTGCATCATATAATCAAGTGTTTTACTAAGTTTGTATGTGAGTTTTGAAAGTGTGTTAACATTGTGGTGGTTGTCTGTAGGGAGTGGCTGTACCTGCTGTGTCATGAAATGTTGAACCCCTATTACGGCCTGTTCCAGTACTCCACAGACAATATCTACACACTACAGATCAACCCCGACTCCTCTATCAACCCTGTGAGTACACACAAACACACAAAGCACTTCACGGCTGATTTGAATAAGGGGAATCTCTCTGACGCTCTGCCTCTGTCTATCTCTCCGTCCATCTCTCCGTCTGTGTTACTGTCTTTCAGGACCACCTGTCATATTTCCACTTTGTGGGTCGTGTGATGGGCCTGGCAGTTTTTCATGGTCACTACATCAACGGGAGCTTCACGCTACCCTTCTACAAACAGCTGCTAGGCAAACCAATCCAGCTCAATGACCTGGAGACCACCGACCCGGAGTTGCACAA